TAAATTACCGACTGACATTTTAGTAAGTGAAGCTCTGAATTCTAGTAAATCTCCACAAGAGTACTCACACTGCAGAGTCCTCTGTTTCTCCAAAACCAACTGGTGCATCATTACTTGTTGTTTTCATTACTCATTATATTATATTATAGTGTGAAATGATTACTGTAGCATCATGCGGTGAACTGAAAAAAAGATTTGAGCACCTGTTGCAGGAAACATTTTATGAGAGTCGCTGTTGCCGTTCAATCTTTGTGTCTAGGTTTCAAGGAGGATGTGCCAGAACTCTTTATTCAGAGGCACCATGTGGCAAAAAATATCTTATTAATGTGACTGAGTCAACAAGCAGCAGGATCAAAGTAAATATAACATGTTTATCTGTTTCACCTTCCTTATCAAGGCAGCATTCATTCTCCATAATAAACCCATTACTGAGTCTTATGCCTTTGCCTCCCGTTCTACTCCTTTTTGAGCTTCCTCCCATCGCAAATTAACTTCTCAAAAGGTTCTTTCAGAAGAGACAAATAAATGAATTTTCTAAGTGCACCAAGTTCAATTAGCCATCCGTCTTCAAAAATATACAGTCTGTCACATCATCTATGAGAGGGAGCAGCTGCATGGTTGGTTATACAGTATTTCCCAGAAAGGAAGACAAAAAAAGACAAGCTTGTAAGCCAGCAGTATAAACTGTTGCAGTCATATCTCCCATTTGGAGGTATTTGTTGAAATAAACATCACGTTCAAGAATCTAATTATATCACTTCATGTTACTGCCTTTAAAAAAAATAAATAGTTACAAGTAAGGCTATTGTTTCGGGATTAAATGGTCAATATACTCTAATGTGGCCCAGTTTTTACTGGTCGGACAACTCTGTGTGCATGAACTCTGTGTTCCAGTACTGATCCACTACTTTTGTCTACAGAAAAGAACCTGTGGAAAAACCAGATGTCAAGCTTAAAGTTTTCTGTGTCTGTCTATGTGCCACAGGAACTACATTCTCTGGTGGGGAAACAATTTTTAAATGTGCAACTTTTTAAGTTGTGCTTTGCTAAAAACAATGAATGAAGCAACACATTGTCACAGGAACGTGCATGTATTGATTTCTATTCATCTGCTAGAGGAATACAGAGCGCACAAAGAATACCTGTTCAAACAATGAAATGAATTTCAGTTTAATCTGCTTATAAGCTAAAGAGATTTCCACGTTTACTTTATTATCCTATGGGGCAGTAACAGTTTAAATGCATCCAGTTTAAAGTTTCAGAGCTCTAGAAATAAACAGCAGGACTGAGCTTGCACTCAGTGATAAAATAATTAACCTGAATTAAAATGTTTAACACGCTATACAAAGATGAATGATTTTTCTGGTGCATTAATCTCATCTTATTTGCAAAAGTTTTGCATTCTAATGCTATAATTTTGTTATTTAGAATCTCTTTATCACTTACTTATCGGACTTATCATCATCAGATAACATCATAGGGATAAGTTTGTATGGAAAAAAAAAAAAGAGTAACATGACCCACAAAATGTCCCTTTTAATGCAAATGTGCAGAGACCTGAAGTGGAAAGCCCGGCTTAAGTTGTTAATTACTGTCATGATACCCATTTCCAACCGGCCTGGCTGTACTGAACTTGTCTCGCTGTAATACCTTTCAGGTGTTTAGTGTTAGATTTGTATTGTTGATTGTCATTTATGCTTAGAAATATTTACTTATATATGCTTAGAGTTTTGTAATTAGTTGTAGATTGGTAGAGGTTTTGATCCTTGATAGTCTGCAAACTTTGTGTGTATTAGACAGCACTTTGGGAGCATGAGAGGTCATACCGTGTCTTATTGTTTTATGGTAGGATTAACGTAGTTGCGTCTGTTCTAGTCTAAGTGCTCTTTGTTTAGATGAACTGCAGGACTTCCTCACCGTGTTATCTAGGATGAACCATCTAGGGTGAGGGGGAGGCTACCCTCTTCCTGACCAAGGATGTTTGACCCTTTGATCAGCAGTCCACACACACACACACACACACACACACACACACACACACACACACACACACACACACACACACACACACACACACACACGCAAGGTACTCTTTGTGTGTATGTAGACGTCATATGTTAATGAACTTATGCATATTCATGTAACCTCAATAAAAGAACAGTGGTACGGGAGAACGGACGAGAGCAACTGGGGTCAAGCGAAGGAACGGTGCCTGTCCGGTTCTCTCCCGTGCACGAGAAACATGAAGAAGCTTGCCTACTTGTGTCTTGCTTTGCAGTGTAATTATATTGCCTTTAACGTTCCAGCGGATGGGTTCAAGTTACAAACCTATCATTTAGAAAACTTGGTGAGCGGATTTATAATGTTGATTTCCAGCACTGTATTTTATTCTACTAAAGCAAAAAGACAACTTTCTTCCGATTGGCTGACCCTCGTAAGCAAAAGGTTTGAAGAATGGGTCAGTGGGGTTTCTGTACCCGCAGTCAGAGCCATGACGACCATATTAGGGATATCCATTCTCTGTGAAAACCAAGAGTAGAAAAAAGACCCTGTCTGAAACAGAGAGTTTAGACTTTAGCCTGAGCTTTTTGCTCACAGGGATTACTGAAGCAAACAATGACCTCCATCCACCACTGTCACAATATTTTTATATATGACAAAAAAAAGGAAAACATAGTATATCCACTTTAGTGTTAACATTTATTGAAATTCTGCTTGGCTTAAACTAACACTCTGTGTTAGTTTAAGCCAAGCATTAGTAAGACTGAATTAAACAGATGGCTGAAAGGTCAAAGTTTACTTACAGCTCAACAACCAACATGACATCCTTTGAAAACTGTAGACTAACTGTTTAAATTCATGTGACGCTTTGGTTGTAACTATATCAGAATTGGCATATCTCAATGCGTTATTGATCTAATAATTAGCCATTGTTTATATCCCCCCATATATCTGGTTATTAAAGTAGAAGATAAGGTGGAGAAATGTAAGAACAAAACTATGCTAACATGTCAACTAAACTGGGATCATATATAGTGATATTCTTCTATTCTGAAAGATTATATGACTAAAATCAGGTGCACAGTCTGCTCTGAGACTTATTATTATCTGTAGCAATCATTTCATCATCAAAATGAGAGCAGCATTGTCAGATTGAAGTTTTTCTCAAAGGTTTCCTGGTTTTATTTGTTGGTTGCCAAATTCATAATTAAAAATCAAATTTAATAAATGACAGCAACGATAAAGGCGGGCTTCCAGCCACTCAAAAAAATACATTAATTAAAAAAAAAAAAAATCACAAAGCGTCATCACAACAGGTTGCTCTGTATATTTGATCTGGCAGAGTTTGAAGCTGGAGTTTGTGTTTCCACCCAGAAAGCAGCCAGGAGATATTTTACTTGTTAGGCAAATGTGTAAACCACCACACCATTTTATTCAAATATAGATCCAATATGTAGAAGGCTAAATCAAAAATTTCTTTATAGGAAATTGCAAGTTTTAATGTAGACATGACACTAATGAAAAGGGTATGTGTTTTGGTCGTTTTAAACTGAAGCAAACTGGGTACTGTATGTTGTACGACTACTTTTAATAACCTTGAAAACCTTCAGTGTCTATATGAAGTGTGGGTCCTCACAGGGGCATACAAAATAATTTGGGACCCTCGGCTTCCTCTGCTTGGAGAGTTCCAGGTGCTTCTGTCTGGGAGATTGTGTGGTTTTCCCAAGAAAAGCTATAAAAAAAAAAAAAGAAAGAAAAGAAAAGAAAAGTAGATAGTGTTGGACTACTATCTGCAAAGTTTTACTCTGCCGTGTATGTGCATGTGTTAAACTGCCTAAACTGTTCTAATGCAAGAAGCTACAATACACTCCCGCTCTTATCTCAGATGGCTTTATCACTCAAACACACACACTTGGAAAAGATGATCTGCAGGTCGTTTCCAGGCAGGCTATGTCTGTCGTTCCTGAAAAATCCTAAAGGGAAAACAAGATAACTCCCAGAAAGTCTGCTATGGCAGCATTATGCTGAGGAACCTCGATGGGAATGACTGATGATGGCTGGAGAGTTTTGACTCATTTGCAGTGTTTCATCAGTGACCTGTACAGCAGCAGTCTAAATGTAAACAAATAAAAGTAAGTCTAAATAACTTTTAGGTGGATTTTTAAAATGCATTTAATGTAATACTTTCATCATAACTGATCATTTTCCATTCAGATCCTCTAATGCGTCCTTCCTCCAAGTCAGTATGAACCTCTGCAGAATAAAAATGTCCCCATATAATTTTTCAATGCATCAGTGACCCCAAACAATCAGACAAGAAGAACAAGGAGCAGTGCAGCCCTGATCTCACACTGCCACTCAATTACAAAACCCCCAAAACATAATAAAATAAAATAAAAATGCTCCACACACTGAAAAAAATTCTACGCAAGAAAAACAGAAACTTTACTGATAGCCTGCGTGGAGTTAAGTGGTCAGCAGATTGAATGAAAAACTACTGAAGCGACGCTGCTGCAGTGCTGTCACTGTCATTTGATTTACACGTGGCTCATCGGTCCACATGACCCGTACTGTGGTACAGTGACCACGGGAGGACACAAGACTCCTGCGTGAAAAATGACGCCTCGTCCGTTCTTCCTTTTTTCTCTGTTTTAATTTAATTTAATTTACCCAGTTCTCATTCGGGTAGGGTAAAGGTAAGCAAGGAGGGTGTGGCGGCGGAAGGTTTCTGTGAGCAATATCCTACAGCACCTGTCCGTCCACAGGTGTAGCTTACAAAGCCCATGGTTTTATTAGAAAAACGAAATAAGACCGGATCACCCTTTGTCCACCCCACGGATCTGACCGGAGCTCGCATACCCACAACTCAAAAGCATTAGATAAACACACAAGCACACACATACACAAAAACACACCCAGCCTTCCCTCCCTGCCAGCCGGGATCTCCGAGCAAACAAAGCGCACACTCTAGGTTTTAGGATAATCGTGTCTGTACTCACCCACCAACAGCAGGCGTAGATGAACAGTATGAATTTGATGATATAATAGGAACAATCAGCACAACATTTAGACTCTCCCTCTGCCATCGTGTCTGGACGGAAGATAGTTTCTTTCAGCGGCTCTTTGGACTGTTGACAATTCACTTCCGCGTTGTCCTCGTCATAGCACCTGGAAACGCGCGTACAGTCTGATATATGGACGGCCGAAGGGGGCTGGTGGATGTGAGCTTGTGCAAGACTTTTAACTTGTAGAAGTTATGTGACATAAGTACATTAATAAAATCCAATTCAAATTTTATTAAGATTCAAATCTTTGCCCAATTAAGGACGTGGTCATTTTAAGTGACAGATGGGTTCGCTTCCCGTTGTTTATTGTCAAAAAATAAAACAATAAAAAACTTCTTTGATTTTTCTGGGGTTTTCTGTTCAGTTTGTTTTAAGCCTGTTTTTAATATTTTTGTTTAAACTGAGTATCTACCTGGTTTTTACTATCACAGTAAATTACAAAGGTATCTTTCAAGCTAAGCTATCCAGCATATAGTTGTTACTGATAACAAGCTCCTATGATAGGTTAAAAAACCAACACACATGATTGAAAGAGCCAAACCGGAGACCAGCAGAACAACTTATGAACAGTGCGGCTATTTCACAACATCTTCTGTACTTTGCCCAGGTATTTCTAACCCATTAACGTACACGCCTATGTAAATATCTAGAAGTTTTTGGGCAGCCTGTGTCAGCAATAGCTTCACCACACTGTGCAGGTCTACAGTTTGACGTTATTATCTGTATCTCACCATTTTATGCTGTAGGGTGTTCAGAAGTAAACATGACAAACACTGAGTTTGCATGGGACAAAATGGGACTGAGATGTAACCCTAAATTTTCATAACTCACAAATAAAAATGCAATAAACTGTGCAGGATAAATATACATTTTGCTCTATTACTGAGTAAATACAATAAGGATAAAGGGAAGCTAAAGTTTGTTCTTTTGCTTTCACGTGAAAGTCTTTATATACTCCTGTACTCTCTTTTATTTCTCTGTTATTTCAACTTCTCTTCTGTCTGGATGCATCCAAATTAAAACACAGCACAGTTTGGATGTAGCCACAGGCTGCCAAAGCTGGCAATTTTAGCAATCTTTATCTACTGTGCCCCTCCACTTCCTGTTCAGAAAGAATAGAAACTCTATTTCTAGGAACATAATGGCACTTCCTTTTTTTTAGGGTTGTTTCCATCATATTTGACAAAATTTGCAAAGATGAACCGGATCAATGTTTTGGGACTTTAGAGAAGTGCATTTCCTGCAGAGCCAGTCAAAATGTGGGACATTGTTTGAAGATGTGGAACAAGGGAAAAAGGAATAAAAATGCTGTGGAGATCCACATAAAGACAGACGTCTGGACCCGAAACTATTGGGAGAAGGTAGACTCTTTCTTATCTGCTATCATTTTATTTTAAGATTAACATGGCCACAAAGTGAAGATGAATACATTCACATACTTTGATCTGAGTCTTGTTTGTACTCTAATCTGATGCTGTTGAAAGCAAAAAGTCAAGGAAAAACAAGATAAAGTCCACTGTGAACAAGATTCATTCCCTCTGTTATTAGAACAAAACAAGTATGAAATACACCAATGCAATTAAAATGTATTAACTCAGCATTTTATACAAGACTGGATTTTTCGACAAAGTGCACTTCAAGGAGACGGACTGTGTTATACTGAAACTGGTTTACTGGCACAAAGTGACTCAGAAGAGAGAGTGAATGCAACAGGCTCTGATCTGATTGCGAAGGATTTGTTCATCGAGGCTGTCATGAGATGCTGGTGGGTGGACAGGCAGACAGCAGGACGGACCAGCTCGACTAGAAAAGCAGAGCAAATATGTTGCAAAATGTACCCGGGGAAACACCAAAATACATAAATGCAATCTAGGAGCCTGAGAAGATAAGCATTTATCTTCTTACATTGGCTCCCCATTAAATACCGTATTGACTTTAAAATTCTTTTGATCACTTTTAAAATTTAAAAAAACTTGGCGTCTAGCTACCTAACTGATCTCCTGCACTTGTACAACCCCAAGAGAGCACTAAGATCTTCGAGTCAGTTGCTCTTAGTGCAACCAAGGTCTAGGTTAAAGACCTGAGGTGATCGAGCCTTTGCTATTGCTACACCTAGACTCTGGAATAATCTCCCAGCTGATATTCGCATGTCTGAGTCTATCCAATCTTTCAAATCGCACCTAAAAACTCACTTGTTTACTTTTGAATCAAACTAGTTTGACCTTCATCTGGTTTGCTCTGCACTATGCAAAAGTGTTTTTTATTCCCTGTTTGCTTGTTATGCTCTGTCCCGAATTTTATGTGTCTTGTGGTCGACTGTGAAGCACTTCGATGATGATTATTGGTCTTTCAAAATGTGCTATAGAAATAAACTTTGATTTGAAGCATTCTCCCACAGAATGCAAGCGGGCCCATATATACTGCTCCTGATGACAATGACAGGAGGCAGGTACAGTGGCTGAAAGACGGGAAACCAAAGACCCCACCAAAAGGTGAAGACAAAACCTGCCACTTCCAGCCAGAACTCAGAGACCAGAAACAACAGGAACAAACAAGTGCAGGACTATTACATAACTGGGCCCAAGCCTCAAGTGGTACAACAGGAAAGTACAGTTTCTTCAGCATGTAAATTGACCTAATGACTACCCGAATTATTGCCCCACACACGGGCATTTGTTTTATACAGATACCTGCTTACTAACCCGTCTGTCTGGCCATAAGAAATTATGTGAGATGAGCATGAACCAACCGTTAGAAATGTGTCATCGTAGCAGAAACCTGAGCGGCAAACATACTCTTATCACTGTTTTCACAAAGATAAAAATGTTTGTTTTCTTTACGCTAATGCAGCAGATATATGAAGGTAAATATACTGCCAAATATTAGAGGCTGTAGAATGAAATATGTGAATGTGCAAAAAAATTTCAACTTGAGCAGCTGTTTTAACTGATTTGAGAGGCTGTGATCAGAGTTGTGGAAATAGTAAAAGAAATTAAATAAATATCAATAAAATCAGAATTACAAGTTTGAAGCTCTCAGTATATCTGTGTAAGTATCAGTCTCCACATTTATTCATATTTTTGTAACTGTAAATTTAAAACACAAGCATGTGAAAACTTTTTACAAGTGAAAATTTCAAAAAATACAAGTTCAGATTTTTTTTTTTAAATTCTCACATTTTATTCTGCAAGTTCTCACATTTTGCAACATATTTACCTTCATACAGAAAGTACATCAAACATTACTCAAAACAAAAACATCTACAGTACCTTCTCTCCTCGTGGTGACATTTGGCGGAGGGACCATGCATCCCCATGCTGTGAGGGACTGGATCATTGACTGGATCACTGGCTGGATCACTGGAGGGTTCTTCAAAGAATTTTCAGAGGTAGCAGCTTTAGTATGGAGGCTATTGAGCGCCAAAATTAATTAATTAAATATATTATAATAAATAAAATTTGTCATTAATTAATTAAAATTGGAGCTATATAAATAAGGCAGGAGTGACTTCCTGTGTAATTCAGTGGTGCATTTTGATGACCACAGCCGTTCACTAAACATACTCCTGTGACTGGCAAGCGCATCATGGAGTGCGTGGGAGGTATTGTCCTTATCTTGGTCAATATCTTGGTCAACTCTCCGACACCACCTTAAGAGAGTCCATCGCCACAACATTACTTTCCTTGCGGATCAGTCACTTGAGTCTGTTGGCATCTGCGACTCGATAAACAGATCCGATACACACAACTTACACATGCATATCCGATCTTCTTTAAATAACCGCCTATCAAAGAGTTCACAGCACAGACTCTATCCAAAGCAAACATTCAAATCCCTGAATATATATCAGAGGATCAGAAGACATCGGATGTGATAAACCAGTCATTAGTTTGTATATGATAAATCGCCATCCCTCGCCTTTTTAGCTGCTGTAGCGCCCTTATTGCAGTTTTCTAAGCACCAAAAGCAGCAACATCTTAATCAGCAGTGACTCGGCCAACAAAACATTTCACATCAATAGGAGGGAGCTGTGTGATTGGCTGTTTCCCCCCTCTTGGTACTTTTCTTACTTATACATCACCTTTATTACTTTCTTCAGTCAGAAAATGACCTTGGAGTGAAAGCAACAAAGAAACTCAAAGATTTTCAAGTGTTATGAAATTCAACCTTCAGCAAAATGAGAATTTTTGTGTCCTCTGGTTGCCTGGGAGTACAGACTGTCTAGTTTTTGTAAAGTATTTATTTGAGATGTGTTCAGGTGCAACTTAAGAGTCACTGCAGGTGTCTATTTCTGTGTTTGCTAGTTTAGGTGGTGAAAATGAGTTTCTTCCCCTCTTGATTAGGTTTTGACCCTTGATAGCCAGCTCTCGCCCAGATTCACTCGGGCAACCACATTTATTAAGAACTGCTACACCTTCTCAGAAACTTTAAATTTTTGGGCCTGCATCCTTCAGCGTGTCAGTCACTGGGCAAACAAGCTTGTGTGATCACATGAAAGTACACACAGGCAGTGCACATTGTACACAGTCAGCAAACTCTACCTTTGGTCATTCTGTTCACTAATTACATGCACGGGCATATGCAGTAGATTTCCCCTGCAAGGCAGGAATGTGAGGAACGGGCATGCAACGAGAAGCAGGTAACAAAGTGAGAAACTATCACAGAAGCACACAGCACAAAAATCTACAACAGTAACAGTGAGACTGAAAAAAAAAATCACTGGAGTCACAATCTGCCTGTTTGCACTGTGAGATATGTTGTTGAATTTCTTCGAGGATAAACTCAAAGTCAATGCAATGACAAGAGGGTTGTTTTTTTTTACAAACAGTATAAAAGAAAGTGTACATGGCGTGTCCTTAGAGGCACCTTCTAGCTGGTGATAAGCAATGTGGATAGAAAGCACACTCTTAGAAATAGGGGCACAATATAAAAGTAAGTTTCTGTAAATACAGAACCTACACTTGCTTTGAATTTTAAGTTGCAGCGTCAGGATACACTCTGACACATAAAGATAAAGAAATTATGCACAAAAATAAATTTTAATCTTAGACTTTAAATGAGACACATTTAATACAAAGTAGTATAATTTTATATCTGATTTGTATCGGTGATGTAATGGGGAGGGGGTTGCTGCCTGGTTGACTATTCCTGGTCTCTGTGTCCTCTGTGTGTCTAACAGCCTTACGTGCAAATTTTAGATAAATAAAGCTTTGAATTGCCAGCAAGACTAGGCTGAAACAAAGTCGGTACAAAAGTCAATATTTGGTGTGACCACCTTTATCCTTCAGCACAGTCTAAACTCTCTTAGGCAAGCTTTCTTTTAATTTCTTTAAGTGGTCTTCAGGAGTAGTTGTCCAGGGTTACTGAAGGACATTCAAAACTCTTCTTTGGCTGTTGGCTGCCTTTTGTTCTGTTCTCTTTCAAGATGCATCACTAATGTTGGGATCTGGACTCTGGGGAGCCCAGTCCACCACAGGTGTTCCACCAAGTGCTTTTCTATCCAGGTGTGCTTTTACTGTATTGACAATGTGTTTGGGATCATTCTCATGTTGAAACATGAAGCTGTTCCCAAGCCGATAATTTGCAGATGGTATTTTACCATGCATCAACATCTGACAGGACTTTTTTGTGTTCATAATTCCAACAATTTTGACAAGATCCACAACACAAAAAGGCTGCAAACCATGACAGAGCTTTTATCGCGTTTTGAAGATGGCTATGGACACACACTGTGGTAACACCCCCCGACCCTATTATCAAATATTAAGGACAAACTGCTCACCATGCTTAGACATGCCAGGTTTTCAGCTAATAGCTCTTTGGGACTCACCTTGTTGATGCAAAAATACAAAGATACTACTGGTCTGATGGTCATAGTATATTTAACAGCAAGAACAAAAAATATTACGCTGAAAGGTACAAAGATTTTAAAAGTTACAACAAAGTCTTGCTCCGTTAAAGCACAATGTAAAAAAAGAAAAAAAATAAGGGCGAATCATTTCTTGGACATTTTCACACTTAATGAGCAAAACGTTTTCAAAAACATGATGCATCTCAGTTTCCCCTCATTCAGTGATTCAGCTATCATTACATGCTTTCCCATTGACAGATCAAAGTGCATTCATAAAGGTAAAGCTGTCACACACAGTTTTTTTTCTAAAGTAAACAGCATGTTTTAAACACTTCATCTAGATCCAGAACTTTCAGTACGTTTTTGTTCTTGTGAAGAAATGTTTGCATGACATCAACACACCAGGAATAACAGTAATTTCAATGAAAAACCACTGAGTGCACAGCAATTATCATACACTTTAAAGCCAAAGCCAACCAGCAGACCAGATCAGACCCTCTGGTGTTCAGACAACATGTCTGACAACTCTACCACTCCAGTGACAAACTGCTGCATTTGAGTTTTTGTGGCTTCATGTTTCTTCAATATAAGCACAAAAAGACTGTCTATAATTTCATGTGAAGAGAACCCTTTCCAGTCCAACACATGGATTGTTCCTAAGAACAACACACAACTCACATGTAAATACTTTTATTCAGGTTTATGTTTTACTGCAGTTTGGCAGTGATACGATCTCCTGGAGACCTGTTAGTGTTTTGTCATGTTTCAGAGGCACAGCTCTAACTGAAAGTTAGAGCTGCAGCCTTTTTAAATGTGTGACTTTTCAAAAACTGCAAGCACAGGGCTGGACTTAAACAAGTATCATGGCATGACTTTTTAACATCACTTTCAACTCTGCGGCACTTTTCTGTTTGCCTCAGATAACTGCATTAGATAAAATATCAAAACTGCTACTCTTTTGGGCACCTCTTTTGTTTTTCATTGGGAGAAATTACTCATTCCCAGACTCCACATAGCAAAATTGGTATGGCCTTGATCTGGCCCACACAATGTGCTTACACATGGCCCACATACCGCAAAGAATGATGGCCCTTTGGTGGCCCAGATCAGGTTTACCAGAGGTGGCCCACACATGGGCCAGCACGTGGCCAGTTGCAGACACACTGCTGGCCCAGATGTCAGCCTAATGTGTACCTTAATCAAGCCATGTAATAACAACATGTGCCGGAACATAACAGTCCAAAAGTAACATGACGAAACTCTGTTCAGACAGTGAATGGACTGATTTTTATATAGCGCTTTTCTACTCTCCCACATTACTCAGAGTGCTCTATACAATATGCCACATTCACCCAACGACACACTTTCTCTAAAACGGGTGCTTCCTAACTACATTCACATTCTTGAACACTGGAAGAGCCAGAGATCGAACCACTAACCTTCCGATCAGTAGGTGACCTGCCCTACTGCCTGAGCTACAGCCACCCACTGGCAAAGATGAGTAAACCGTCACTAGGTTTTGAATAAAGTGTACACTCACAAACCTGTCAAATCTGTACTTGAAAAGTTGGCTACTATAGCAGTATAGTGTTACAACATGGCATTTGGGTCTTCTAACTAAAATAGGAACATAAATAGTGCCATCTTTGCCGGACCTAGTCCACATGTGGTTGACAGACACCCTGCCATGACACCGGTCAGTCAGTAGTGCCAGCTTGATGCCAGATCCGGGCCAGACCTGTTTTCTATCAGCCTGGGCAACATAACCCAAACTACAATCGGGCCAGATGTGGCATGCCATCACATAAACAGTGCCATCTATGCCGGCCGTGGCCCATATCTGGATGAAATACGTCTTATCATGCCAGCAGTCAACCAGCAGTGCAGGCTTGATACCAGATCCGGGCCAGACCTGCTTGCTATGTGGGACAGTGTGAGCTGAATTCTGGTAAATGCTGGATTTCTGCTGTGCATTTTTTTTAATGACTAAGTGGTAAGAACAAGATGAAGAACCTCAAACAAAATTCACAGACACAAACCATGTTCCTCAAAATTGAACAACAGTTTGGAAGGCTAGAAAAAGCATGCAGAAGGTGTAGACAAGAGAGTCTCATAATCCTGCTGCTTTTAACAATGCAGTTAAAAAAGAAGGACAAACTCTCTACAGTCATGCCAAAATCCACAAATGTAATCTCTTGGTGGGGACATTCTTACTTAGATGGATTTGTAGTGATTGCAGCTTGGCTGAACACCTCAATAATAGAAGAGCTTCACTGTTGCTTTCAGAGTTTTATTGAAAACTCAATTGAAGAATCATTTTTTCTCTAGCTCTCACCTGATTGTGCATTTTTAGCACGCTCAAATTCACAATGAAAAAGGGTGAATGAGCGCAGCATTCTCTCTTCTAGAGGCTCTCAGTATGAGACCACCAGGATAGACACATATGTGTGTCCTCGTTTTTTGTTTTTTTGTTTTTTTTGTAGGCATAGAAGATGGGTAGTGCTGATGGGTTCGGGCAATTTCACAAGAAACCATCTCAAAAGTGTTTCAGACTTGTCGAGCGGTGAAAATTGACGGCTGTAAAGAAATTACAGCAGTAGCGGTAAAATGCAGGGGTACACCTCTCTCTTTCCTTCTTCTCGGACCACCCTAGCTTTCCCGTTCTCTGTCCAGGCTCTTACATTTGTTTCCCCCTCTCCATCATCTTGTTGATATTCGGCTATTTTAGAGGTGGAGTACGTAAATCAGGCACTGCTCTCACAAGTCTCGCAATTTTTAAATTTTCTGTTTAACTCTTAGTTCTTTCCATCACATTTATCTTTCTTGTTAGACGTTTATTTTGTCAGGATTTTACACCTCGTACCTCTCTTCATCTCTCTCCCTCTGGTAGTGGAGGATTTTGGCGCGACTCTGCGCGCACGGTAGCGTGCCTGAATGTCTGCGCTTCTCACTCTCAGATCAACACGAGCAAGTCACACATTCCAGTAGAGAGAGGCAGAATATATGCGTGTGTGAGAAGGAGTGAGCGGGGAATCCGGAGAAATACCTTAATGGATTATTGGATGGACCTGTTTGTCCTTTACGCAGAAGGAATCTGATTTTTGGACAAAAGCAATGGATTGAGTTTCAACTTGACCATTAATAGACGGGTAAGACAGATGAAAACTAATAATATGATTCAGGTTTAGGTTTTCTCCGGGTATTGTCCAGTGCATGAATTTATCACTTGTGGAGTTAAGGCAGCCAAAGAAACACACTTTATGTGACAAATGTGCGTAATTCATGCTCAGTCGTGCATCTATTTAGTTAATCTCAAAGCACCTTTAATGAATTAATAAATGAATTAAGATATAATAAAACAAAATAAGAAAGAAAGTCATTTTTAATTTTTTTTTTTTAAACAATCGTCTTGTAGCAAAAAAAATTAAGCTGTCGGGAGAGTCTGGAAGTTGTCACCACGGTAATACTTGCATCCTGTTGTTAATGCTTGTAATCAAAAGCCGGATGCCGTCACAACGATTGATATGGTTGTCTCAAATCAGACTCAAAAACTTTAATACAAATTGAAACCGCCCTACTACAATGAACAGCAAGGAGATTAACACATTCGCACCTTGTTTTGGAGTTGATGCAGCTTAAAGCTAGTGCGTGTTGAAGTGGGAAAATAAGCTATTATTGGGGTGGTTTCAGTGCCTCTAATTATAGCGTACAAAACGAAGAAATCATTTTATAGACACAATGATACACACGCGAGTGTATTTACTCATAATCCCCCTACAAGAGAGTGTTTGTTTGTTTGTTTGTTTGTTTGTTTTAATTTGTCGGTCATTGTGGATAATTACGCATGACGCACAACGTATATACAATTATATCTACAGGTTCTGTCACCGGTAAGACAGAAAGCCAACATGGACGCCGGTAGTCTGATACAACATATTGAACGAGATGAAGAGACCACTTCGTGGCCATTGTCGATGACCACTGAGTGGTTGGAGGACGGGAACGAGACGACCTGGAATCAGTTCCAACAGCCCGACTGGCAGGTGAGAGAAAAACACTGAGATAACAAATGAAAGTGATTAAAGTCAGAACTGCAGAATTTAAAAAGATGACATTTTGATGATGATATTAATGAAAGAAGTAAGAAAGACGACTCAGTGAAGTAAACAGGTGTATTCTTTTTTTTACTTGTATAATGTTGAAGGGTAAAAACCATATGTTAGTGACATCATTGTTGTGAAATCTAAGTAAAGTGCCTGAAACAGACAGAAACTCAACAGAATGAAGTAAAGGCTTACTGGTGAATGTGATTTGTCTCAGGGACAAAATGTGGGGCTGATTCAAAGGACATTTTCACTTCACAGACTGTATATTAGTTAAGTTATCTGAAGGCTTTTTGCTCATTCCTCTAAACACTTTTAACTCCCCCACAGTCATTTAAACCTGCACCACACCGTGCACAGTTTACAGTCCTCTCCTCCTATCTGTGCTTGGCTGTCTGAAGTAGCTCATTGCTTTACATTTCTGCGACAGTGGTTGACTGGGTATGAACAGGTGATGGATGTCAGGGTTTTCATTTCTGGCCCCAGATAAAGTGCAGCATGTCTGTCCTATTAATTTTCTTATAGGTCAGACAATGAAAGGAACGGGGTCTACAGATATTAAAAAATGCTGAAGATTGGTGGTTGCTTATCACAGAATAGACTTTACCTGGAAGCTGACTTTGATCGGTTTATCTCTCTTTGGGGGATGAGATAAACTAGGAATTCCCTGTGTAAAGAAACTTAAGATTTCTGAAAATGTTTGTTGTTCAGAGTTGTTACGTCTCAGGAGGTAGACTGAGGTATCTACTAATTGTAAGGTTGGTGGCTCGATCTCTTTTCCTCTTGTCATTATGTTGAGGTATCTTTGAGCAAGCTACTAAACCCTTAGTTTCCCCTGATGTATCCATCCGAGTGTGAGCGTTAGGATAAAAGCACTCAGACACAGGAAAAGATGTTTGTACAAATGGGCTAATGAGGGTTGTAGTAAGAAAATGCTTTGAGTGCTCAAATAAATTAGGAATGTGCTACAAAAGTGTCAGTCCATATACCACTTGCTGTAGACATCCTGTGCAGGGATAGGGTGGGGTTTGCAAATATATACGTATTTGTGAGTTCCTTTATTGTGGTTTTTTTTTGTAACTGCGTATAAGATGCTGACATTAAAGGTCTCCTCTCCTCTCCCAGGTGGCTCTCTGGGCTATAGCGTACTCCCTCATCATCCTGGTGTCCATCACTGGGAACGTCACAGTGATCTGGATTATCCTCGCTCACAGGCGCATGAGGACTGTGACCAATTACTTCATTGTCAACCTGGCTTTCTCTGACGTTTCCATGGCGAGCTTTAACACCCTTTTTAACTTTGTGTATGCGCTTCACAATGACTGGTACTTTGGCTTGGGTTACTGCAGGTTTCAGAACTTCTTCCCCATCACTGCCATGTTTTCGTCCATATACTCAATGGCTGCCATTGCAGTGGACAGGTAAGAACGCTCTCCTATAGAGTTCAGAATAAGTGAATAACGACAATGAACTATACTGTGCATTAAAAAAGGTAGACTGAACACTGAGCTGCAGACTGGCACAGCAGGCAATCTGGAGTACAGGGAAACCAGCATATGAGCATATGAAGTGTGAAAAAATCACAGCGTTAGGCTTGAAAATCTAGTTGTCTGAACATGTCTACAGATTAATGAGCTGTAGTTTAAATGTCATTAGAGGCGATTAGGAAAAGGCAGGGATGGAGTACCACCACCTTCACAGAGTTGAACAGCAACAAAAACATAGAAACACCTACACAAAAAGGGATTTAAATAGGTGAGGGGAGGGAGACTGGGGGCATGAGCGACAGGGGAAAAAAGGGGAACTCAGCACTGGAGCCAAAGGGATCATGTGAAAAATATGAGGTCAACTGCTATTAAAATGAACAAGTCATTACATCAGAGACTCTTTTGTGCTACCAATCAGACACTAATGGGGTGACTGATCCCCATTTTATGCAAACACTATTTAGAAAGTGCATTATGAAAGCAGTCAAAAAAAGGAATCATCACAACTTAATGAAAAAAATCAACATAGTGGCATATTGTTTCAAGCAACTAGCAGATCTGGGCAAAGGCATCTCTTTTCTGCAAGAACACGGATCATTTTCAGAGTTTCTGGAAGAATAAGGGTTTCGACATTTGAGCTCAAACAACAGCTCCTTGAGGAGCATGATTTGCTCTCATTCTCAGCAGGCAGTACAAATGAAAATGCTGCATGAAGGAGATATGGGTCAGCAGGCGGACACAGATGAAACACAGATGCCAGTAATGCTTACTGGAGCATGAATGGTCAGCCCGAATAAAATATCATATACTGAGTAAGGTATAAAATCTATGCTCAGTATGTGATACTTGTAGTAAGATAGTTACAAATTTATAGGACCGACCTTATGCAATATGACACTCCTTCAAGATAAAAATAATCAACATCAAAGAAGGGTGTTTCACCCTAATGACAACCGTACAATGATTTTGAACACACAGCAGGAACACAAACTGAGAATTAAATGTGTTATTAAGAACTATTTGTTTTTTGTTTTATTTTCATCATGATTTACTTGATGAACTCAGAATTGTTCACCTATATATGATGCAGCAAAACCTCTTTGTGGATTTAGACTATCCATAAACTCTTATGATTGTAATAAAGCTATCTTATATAAAATAAACCATTATGGGATGCAAAGAAAAACTAGAAAACATCCAAGTCAGTGTGGTCCTCCTCTTGGAGGCTTGACCTAAATCCCACAGAACACCTGTGGGCTGCTGAAAAATGTCAGATCATTGATGTTTTAGTGGGGATGACCTGACAGCTTTGACTGAAACATGAAGGAAACCACAGCTGTCGCAGCAACTTTCTGATTTTCCAAGTGTCCAAGTGTTTTCAGGTAGCTCTGCAAGCAAAATGATGCTGGACTAAATACTGAAACATTATAACAGCAATCAGCAATCTTTAGTATTCACGGGGAAGGAAGGTCTGGAAAATGTGCTTAGATTGCTGCTCTGTTGCTCAGGACCTGGATAACGAGCAGATAATGGAAGAAGGACTAGCTTTTTATTTTAATTTTGAAAGTGTGAATCATTTTTAAATGGTATTAATCAATTCCCAATACTCTTCTTTTCCATTACTCTTATAGTATCTACTTTGATGTGACTTTTTAAAAATCTGATGCAATTAATTGTCTTTTTTCCTTTTTTTTTTTCTGAAAAAAGCAGTTTATTAACCAAATCTTTCTAGCAGATCCATTAATTCTTACTGGGTTTTTTTTGGCTCAGATTGATCAAGGTGCTGGAAACATTGACATGAAATTCTCACCAAATGTCAGTAACAACCCATCCAATGCAAAAACGCAAAGAAATCAAACCATTGATTTCCATAAATTATGTGTAATAATAAGAAAAGACAGAGGGGGGAAAGTATTGAACCCGCTTACTGAAATGTATGTAATACTTTGTACAAAAGACTTTGCAGGTAATGACAGAAACTAGTCACATGCTAGTCAAATTACTCAGGTGTGATTTTGGCCTATTCTTCCTCACAGACAGTCTTCAAATCCCGAAGGCTCCTTGGGTCCTATGAACTCTCATCCTTAGATCAGTTACATGAAGGGTGATGTATGCAGAAAAGCCGCCCCACAGACTTTATGCTTCCAGTATTTCACAGGATTGTTCAGCAAACTTTGAACATGCTTCAACATGCTCTTTCTTTAGCAGTGGTCTGTGTCATGTTCCAGCATGGTGAGCGTGCATACAGGCCATGATGGGCGAGTGCATTGCTTGCTTTCTTTGAAGCAATTATACCTGCTGCTTCCAGGTATTTCTTTGGCTCTCCACAAGCAGTCCTTGGCTCTTTGACAACTTTTCTGATAATTCTTTTCACTCCTTTGTCTGAAGTTTTGTGGGGAGCACCTGGTCATGGCTGGTTTATGGTGAAATTCCACTTTCAGCTAATGTCCCCAACAGTGCTCACTGGGACCTAGAGTAGTTTAGAAATTCTTCTGTAACCAATGCCATCAGTATGCTTTGCAACAATAAGGTTGCAAAGGTCTTGAGAGAGCTCATTGGTTTTACCCATCATGTTTCGTGTAACACTGCAGTAATTTCAGCTGGTGTCAATAATTTCCATGTCTTTTTGCATCTCCCTTTCTTTGTGTTTTCAGTACTTTTCCCCTGTGTCATTTCTCATCACTACACATAACATATATGGTTTGATTTCTTTCCATGTGTGGATTGGATGGGTTGCTACCGACATCTAGTGAGAACTAGATGTCGGTAAAAAGGAAATAAAAACTTGTTATAGGTTCTACTTTCAAACTTTCATCTTTATGCGAAACGTTTATGTAAGATCTCATGAAGCTGTTATTATCCACAGAACATTGACAAAGCCACTCCACAATAATGTAAGTTTATGACTCATAACCACAGATGACCGATTTCACCGTAATTTTAACAATACCATGCAATAGTGCTAAGTTGAAAAAAGTAGACTGCATACTGGTTGAGATGGGTTGCCATAGCTACCGCATTCATTGGCAGTTATTAACATTATTTCACCTTCAACTTTTAATGAGGTAACTTCTGTATTATATGGTAGATTGGCGGGAAAGGAGTTTTTTAATATACCATCATTAACCTGAATTACGGGATGTCACTGATTTTTAATTATTTTTATTGTATCCGAATATTTTTTAAAAGGATTGCGTGGGTTTTAAATGGTTATTATCCTGGGCTTTTATCACTTGACCTCTGACAGTTAGCATATATTCCACAAATAAATAATTACTAAAGAAATGTTTTTGTTTGTTCAAAATAGGAAAAACACTTTGAAAAAAGGTTGTTTAAAACAAACACTCAGCAGGAACCTTTTGATTACTGCTCAGCTTTGAAGCTGTTGTTTTGCAGCTGATGGTTTGATTGATGAGTGGGTAGTTTTCTGTCATGAAAAGAAAATGTCACTTTTTTTCACACACTAAAAGCTTTAAAGCATTGCCCTGTTTTCCCTATCAGTGCACCTATGACTGAGTTTCTTTAGACAAAGACATGTGAAGGTGTAATCATACAAAAGTTTCTGTCTTTTTCAGGTACATGGCCATCATCCATCCTCTGAAGCCTCGCCTCTCCTCCACCTCTACAAAGGTGGTGATTGCCCTGATATGGATTGTGGCAGTATCACTGGCGTTTCCTCAGTGCTACTACAGTGTGACAAGATTTTATTACCCCAGAACTGTGTGTATGGTTGACTGGCCTGATGATTATGGAGGAACACATCAACTAAGGTGAAATAAAGAGGCACACACGTGCATAGATGGTGACATCGCTAACAGGTCTGTCAGTTTAGGAGCTATTTGTGCCACTCTTTAAATGCAGATGTGTGTGTTTACCTATTTGGATTGAGCAAAAGTTTCTACTTAAGCACTGGCAAAAATATCTAAAAGAAAGTTGGACAAAAACTGAATAAAATAAATGTTTACATAGAAGGTAAAAACTTTGACCTCAAGTTGGATCTCCAAATTGTTTTTCTTCTGCTCGGCTTCATTTCTTCTAATACAGCATTTAAAAGTGAACGAGGTTGATCAGATTTTTACATTTACAATGAAAGCAAGCGAGGAGTTAAATGTTGCTATGACTGCTCAGGTTAAATCAATCTTGTGTTCATCTAAAACATCAAAGAACTCCAAGGCACTCTCCTTTTAAATAACATTTTAAAATACCTTTATTAAATGTTGCATGCCAAAATGCATTTTGGCATGCAACATTTAATAAAGGTATTTAAGAACTTTGATTGGAAAGCTAAACAGATTTTTTAGAAAAAGTCAGCTTTTCAACTACCGGCAAACTTGATTCCCCACCGTGTAGGTGGTTTTAAGGTCAAACAAGACTATGGCATGAAAATTAAGCTTTTTAAAAAAGAGCCTTGGAAGTCTTTCATGTTTTAACTTATATATATGTCTTCCAAAGTGCACTTCAGATAACACAAATCTAAATCTAAGAAGCTCTCCTTCACACAAACTGTTCAGATCTCACATTCATGTTTACATTCATTCTTGTTCATCAACCTTGTGTTGTGTGTCCTCATAAACTCTGTGCACGTGACGGGTAGCAGAAAGATTTGTAAAGCTCAGTTATTCAAGTTTTAATAGTTTAAAACTTGAAAATAGTTTCAATAACTTGACTCTTTCATATTTTATCTATTGTATAATTCATCAAAACCTCTATAAGTTGCTAATGAGCATACATTTTAGAAGTGTGGCAGAAAGGTCGGTTATTGACACAGGTTCAAGCTGCAGAAGGCAGCTGAGGAAAGGAAAAGAAGGAAAGTGTCTTCATACATGATTACTTTTGAACTTTATCTTTGAACTCCAAGGACAAATCCATCTGCCTGACTCCTTCAATTTGATCTTTATGTACTCATCTGATCTCTGTGATTGGCTTAGGTCTCCAATAACAAGCTTAATTCTCTAAAGCCTGACAAAGAAAGAAAATCACAGACAGGAAGACAGAGCCTTGGCTTCTCTGAGACCTCTTGCACTAAAACTGCTGGAAGGTTAAAATGTTTGTTGCTGTTTTCTGCCTGACATAGAAATTAAGCATTTAATATCCATGTTGCTAAACAGTTTCGAAGCAATTTTCCAGGTTTCATCAAATGCAAAAAGTAGTTATTGCTCGGTGAGAGACATGTAGAAAAGCACAAACTGAAAAAATTTAAATGGTATTGAATTTGCAAACGGCACACTAACATCGGATTTGTGGTGATGGCTTGGTGATAACAGCTGACACAATCTAAAGGTTGAATGTTGTGTTACCGTTTCTCATCTCTTTTTCTCCATGTAGTTATCAGTTTGCGGTTATATTGCTGATCTACCTTCTCCCTCTGCTGGTGATGCTGGTGACATACACTATAGTCGGCCGATCGCTGTGGGGTGGGCACATCCCTGGAGAGGCGTCAGACCATTACCATAGCCAGATAAATGCCAAGAGAAAGGTTACACTGTTCCTTTTTTTTTACTACTCAGTTTGACTACAAATCCTCTGAGCTGACCTGATCTTAACAGAAAAAAACACAGCAGCAATTACTCAGGCTCATATGTCTTCTTATTTTCCATAGGTGGTGAAGATGATGGTTGTGGTGGTGGTGACGTTTGCCCTATGCTGGCTGCCCTACCATGTCTACTTCATACTGGGATCATTTAACAGAGACATTTATAAGCAACATTACATTCAGCAGGTTCACGGATGCCTCTCTGTTTTATATTCTTGAATCTGTAGTTTTGTGTTTACTCATTATTTTCTGTCTTCATCAGGTGTATCTGGCCATATTCTGGCTGGCAATGAGTTCAACTATGTACAATCCTATTATTTACTGCTGTCTAAACCAAAGGTGATCTGGCAGTAATTGTGCCGAGTTTAAAAATAATATTATAGCTTCAAAAACGTCAGTAAATCGGACATAAATCCATCTTTTCCTGCAGGTTTCGCGCTGGTTTCCGTCATGCCTTTGCTTGGTGTCCCTTCATCAAAGTGTCAGAGGAGGACAAGATGGAACTGCAGCACACACACACCTTCAGAGTCACCATGACCCGCAGCCACCGCAATGACATGTCATCTATTAGAACAAACACTACATACGTCTCAAACACGCTTGCCAGCAGTGACCTGGTCACAGAGAGAGATGCTCGCAGACACCTTAAGAAGAACACACGCAACTCGCATCCGGTGAAGAAACTGGACGACACAAAATCTCCAGCTGTGGCGCTTATGGAGCACACCCAGTGATCGCTGACAGACATCATGATGAGGACATTCTCAAAGGGAAGGCAGCAAGATTTTTCTGAATTGTGAATAAAAACACTACAGCTGGTGGAGACAGAGGAAGCCCTGCGGAGTACTGGACAGAGTTAATCAAACTAAGGCATTCATTCCTGTGGATCAGGAACTTTGTATAATACACGATGGATGAATGAATGTGACTATCAAGCTATTGCAGCACATGCAAAACATTTAATTATGCCACTGAAACATTTGTGGCTGTGTGTAGATTAATCCAACCTTGATCTATTTACACTGCTCCAAGAAATTACGCGAACACTAAAATATGTTTTCATCGTGGTCAGATAACCTTTACTGATATACTTTGTGTAATTAAAGTGAAGTAAAAGTGGAAACCAAAATCCTCACACCAAAGTCAAACATAAATTCACAGGCTGTTCCAGCTTGTGTCATAATGTGCCTCGGTAATGTTTACTGGATATGTCTGGATATACTCCTGATGAGATACTGGATAGTATCCTGGAAGATCTCCTCCCAGATTTGTTTCAAGGCATCAGTGAGTTACTTGATAATCTATTTGGCTAGTTGACAGTCAGTCTGAGGATTTCTCTCTGGTATCATATAGCAGTCAGGGTATCACTGACCAAGCAGGTGGAGGTCTGTGCAAGCCTCCAAGGATATGCTTCCCCAGACTATCACTGACCCACTGCCAAAAGGTCATGTTTATCATGGCGTCCACAATCTCTTTAAAAGCTGTCATATTTGCTCAGTGTGCACAGGTCTCACTAAAGGACATAAGACCGTTGTAGGTCTAATTCTAACAGTTTTGTCAGGGGCATGCACATCAGTAGCCTTATTTTGTAGAGCTCTTGCAGTACTCCTCCTCACCCTCTTTAGAGCAAAGAAGCAGATACTTGTCCTGCTGCTAGGTCGTTGCTTTTCTACAGCTCTGTCCAGCTCTCCTTGTGGCACAGCCTGTCTCCTCCTGGTATCACCTCCACACTCTCGGGACTGTGCTGGGATACACAGCAAACATCTACTGGAGGAGGTGGACTACGTTTGCGTCCTAAATGGGATGCAGGTACAATTTCATGCAAATAGTAGTGTCAAGGACGTTAGCAAAAATTAAAACAAGAGAAAAGGGTTAAGGAAGGAGCAGTGGTCTGAGGCCACTTGATGCTCCTCCAGTGCAGCGGCTGTGACTTTCATCCTAACTGGACAGACTGATTTCCCTGAAGCTGAACTGACTTTGTGTCATAGTGTGATGATCAAGTGTTCCCTTCATGCTTTTAGAAGTGTATTCCACTCCAAAAGTGTCCTCCCCCCGTTGCCGTCCAGACCTCTACATGCTCTCTTTCCTCCATCTTGGACATTCAAGTGTTACTGGAAACATTTAACTGTGGTTACTGGTTTTCTTGTGCAGAGAACGGACAAACAGTCCAAACCCTTAATAATGTTGTTGTGTAGCGTCTTCATTTGATATAAGGCTTTCTTTAACAATTAAGCTAAAATAGGTGTTTTATTTAATTTCTCTTCTATATTAACTCTCGATAATCAAAGTAATTCACTCATTCTTTAAGTTTGCTGGGATTCAGAATTGGCAGCAACAGCGTAGTTAGTCTTTTTAATCTGGCTTTTACTCATATTGATTACTCATAAAACATTCAGAGATCAATTAAAGCTCAAAGTGATGTCAGAAAATCGCCAGTAAATACGCCTCCTTCTCCCATTTTTGCCTTAAATTAATCAGTTGTCTGGTTTGCATGTATTTGTTGCTGTGCAGTTCTTTCCCCCTTCACACATTTGTTACATGGTGCACATTAATACAGTATTTTTCCTCTTATATTGTGAGTTCACTGGATAAAGTCTACATTAAAAATTCAAGTGCCGCTACTTAGTACAATCAAATGTGAAACATAGTGATGCTATCTACTGAAGACATTCATGTAAAATACCCAGAAGTAAATATGAAACTTGTGGTTGTCGCACAGTTAAAGAGTCAGAAAATGACGCTTTAAATATTGTAACCTGTGAGCATTAGGTTTCAGGATGAAGTAAAAACGTTTGATTATTGGAAACTTTTTGATGTTTTAAGCACGCACTGTGGTTGTGTTAAGTGTCTTGTTGTCTATACGAAGCAGGATTTTTGTCGTCTGTGGCTGAAATAAAAAAGTTTAAATAATGTGACAGTGCTAATAAAGTTACAATACAGGAAGTACTGACACACATTTATTTGTGCCCCATCTAACGCCTGAATTATAACTGCTGTAGCTGTTAACAGAGCTCTAAGTGTGCAACTTCAGCACCGCAGGGTTGCTTTGACCTTTAGCTCACACTGAATACATTTGTAACACCACTGAAGAGATTCACAACTACGTGAGTGCTAAATGATCAATGCACAAACAAAAACAAACCAACCACGACATCATGTTTACACAGGTTTGACTTTATTAAGTGACTGATTGGCGATGTGGGACAGATACATCCTTTGTTAGCAGAATCACACAGATTCAAGCGTTTGTGTGCGACTGGACATTCTGGGGTCAATCTGAAGGCAGAGTAAAGGAGCTACCTGACTTCTTTAATCATACAATATGACTAAAAGGTAGGAAAGGACATTCTTTTAGCTCAGCTGGTATTCATTTGAATATTTAAAAAGGTGGCATCTCAACCATATCCCGTCCTCCACGGGCACCACTGATCTAACAATAGAATATTTTCTTCTTGTGCTCTTTAATTGCTTCATAATGAATCTAAGCCGTCGTAACTTTGAGACTTTTTTTTCCCTTTTGCTTTTAACACAATGAAAATAAATATCAATTTGCATAAGTTATGCTACATGAAAGAGCCTGACAGTAGTTACCTTAGACATCCTCCTGAGCTTTTAGGAGCACATGGTGATATTAAAGGGGCGAGTAGAATACGTGCTTTTATTATTGGCCAACATGTTAAAACTCTTTTAAAAGTTCTGTAATGTTCATGTGAGTTTATACACACTATGGCTGCTGTTGTTATTCCCCTGGCATCCGTGTTAGCACCACATTTCTGTTTCATAATTAAATAGCTGTTAAGGTATCATCATGGTGATGAGGTTAGCCAGGACTTCTTAAGAAATGAACACACTAACAGCAGCTGTGACCGGTACCAACAACAGGACACATAGTTTACACTACAGACAATAAAAAGATACTGCTCTCTGAGATAAGACCAGTGGTTCTCAAACCGTGGAGCAGGGAGCAACTGCAGGTGGGCCGGAGAGGACCAGAGGAGAAATGTTTTTAGGAAACATAAACAGAACAAAGAACAGGATGGAATGAACTTTAAATGCTAAAAGACGTGTGGGCGTTGACTTTGAGCACCACTTGGTTCTCTAAATCTGCCACTGCAGAAGTCCCTCTTCTGTCATGCTTGAGCACATAAATACAGGACAGGTACCATGTGAGGGAACTTCTTCGCTGGCTTCCTATGTGTGCATCATATTTTGCAACAGTAACATTTTTCTTCAACATCTCCCGATATATAAAAATACAATAAATAACAACAATGTATTTATAACATTGTTTTATATGTGGGTAAGATATCAAATACCAAAAAAAAGCAATAAAATAAAATAAAGAAAAGAAAAGAAGAAAAAAAAGTTTCCCTTTCATCTCAGTACACATTTATATATCGCATCCCTTTCATGCTTTCCTGTACATACGCGCGTAATCTACAGCAGACACACAGACTTTGGTCTAAAAGAGCGTTTTTATGTTTTTGTTTCTACTGAACAAGTTAAAAGTCAATCTGCGATGTTTCTCTGCAACTGGTGTGCTGACCTGCAACTTATAACAGAATGCAGTTACCAGAGAATTCCTCCAGATGGAGACAAAGGGGGTTTACAGGCATGCGACTGTCCTGCATTAAAAAAAAAAGAAGACAAAGGGCTACTTGTGCGTGTTTTATCCACAGAAATTGCAAACTTGCAATATCCTTAAGAGACTGGGTGCTGTTAATAAATCTAACCACAACAGAGAGAAAACCTCTCCTTTTCTCTGCCTCACGTAGACGGACTAAAGCAGCTACCGGAGCGTGATATGTCGACTGGTCTTGTTTGATTTAGGAGGAAAGGAGACAATGGTTGAGAACTGGGGCAGGAGAGGGGATGAGATAACAGTGAGATGTAGAAAATGTTCTATTTGCTGTTCAGCTCCTGTCTTAGCCGGCAGCCCACGGCTGTGATGAGTGCAGCTCCTTTTCCACTTCCATCCTCTGACAGCAAGAACTTGACATTACAGTTTGGAGCCAGTTCTTTAACCGTCTGGTGCATGATCAGGGAGAAGCTACACAGAGACAGAGGATGTACACGTTAGACAGAAAAGCAAAAAGAGCCAGTCTGATGATACGGTTAATGGGTGTGAAAGTGACACAAGAGGGAGCGAAGGTATGGTTTACCATCTCCTCGCCAAAATGAATCATGTTCAAAAACAAAAGAAAGACAACCAGGCCTCTACTATCTAACCGGGAAACAGGCTTTTCTGCATAGCTTAGCATAAAATAAAAGTTGTTTTCACACATCCAAAAAAGAAATCAGAGAATCAGATACGGACACTGCCTGCAGTTTTGCTTCCTCAGCTTTAGCACACAGCAGGAGCTCATTTCTATCAGCTGCAGTACCACAGTGGAGATGTTTCGGGGTGTGCAGGAGATAGCTACTTGCTAGCTTTGAATTCACAGGAGTATTATCTGGACTGGTTTCACAAAACAATGCAATCAGCCATCACACAGACTTTCCACACGGGATTTGGAGAGTTAATGACAGTTTAAAATCGGATCTGCACCACCATCTTATAAATAAAGGAAAGCTTATGTGTCAGCTCAAGGGTTAAGGCACAATAAATCAACTTGCCACTGATTCGTTCGTTCGAAAACATGTCCAAACCAATGACCTATTAATGACTATGTCTCCTAAGCAGTGCTCTTGTGGTGACACTGGACATAAGAACAAACGGGCAGAGAATATTTACTTAACCTGAGGTTTTTCTCTTGCATTGTGCAGTGAATCTCATATGCAGTTATAACAGGACTGAAGCAAGACTCAACTTGACACAAGACTCTCTGTGCTATGTGTACGCTTTAGTTAATATGCTACTTTGACACTTCGGGATCATCCATTTATCATAAAGGATTTTTGCATTGGCTATCTTGCGACTGCTATTTAATGTCAAATGCTTACTTTTAGCTCATTTAGCTTACTTCCAAATAAATTTATCACCATGACTAAGAAAAAAAAATACTT